TATCACAGGCAAGCAAAATCTGCTAAAGATTATCCCAAAATGACTGGAACAGTACATCAACAAAGAATTACAATTAGTACAAGGAGGGTTTAGAAGAGGCCATGGTACTAAGGATATCACTGCCAATGTCAGACGGATCTTGGCTGAAAACAAAGAGTACCAGAGGAATGTCTAGTTGTGCTTCACTGACCACGCAGGCATTTAACTATGTGGATCACAACAAATTGTGGCTAACTTTGAGAATAGGAATCTCAGAACATTCAATTGTGCTCATGTAAAACCTGTATTTGGACCAGGAGGCAGTTGTCAGAACAGAACAAGGAAACACTACATGGTTCAAAATCAGGAAAGGAGTTCATCAGGGATGCAGCTTGTCTCCACACCTTTTCAATCTATATGCAGAACAGATCCTTCAGGAGGCTGGACTTTATGAGGAGGAATGTGGCATTAAAATGGCAGGAAGACTCATTAACAACTTGCGTTATGTAGTTGACACCACCTTGCCTGCTAAAACTGAGGACCTCAAGCATTTTCTACAGAAAGTCAAGGACTACAGTCTTTACTATGGATTAAAGTTCAATATCAAGAAAGCAAAGATTCTTATTACTGGGTTAACTGGAAACATCATGATAGATGAAGATGAGATTGAGATAGTCAACAATTTCAACTTGTTCAGGCAGTGGGACCAGCAGCCAGGGAAGTATGCTGTCAGGGACCTCTTCAGAGTGCTCAAATGCAAAGATGTCAGTCTAGAGACTAAGGTGCACCTGATCCAAGCCATGGTTTTTGCAATTACTTGTTATGCCTCAGAGAGCTAGACAATGAATAAAGATGACAGAAGAATTGATGCCTTTGAACTGTGGTGCTAGAGAAGTGTACTGAACATACCATGGACTGCCAGGAGAACAAACAGATCTGTTCTAGAGAGGGTGAAACCAACTTGGTTTCCGGAGGCAAGGATTTTGAAGCTCTGTCTCAAATACATGGCATGTTGCCAGGAGGGACTAGTCCTTAGCGAAGTGCATTATGCTTGGTCTTATGGAGAGAGAACACAGGAGAGGATGACCCTGGATGAGATGGACTGACACAGTGACTGGGGTAATAGGGGCAGGTGTGTCAGTGAAATTGACTTAAGATAAGACAGAGTTAAGAGATATTGTATATAGGGTCGTTATGAGTCGCAAGAAATTCAAGAGCAAACAACAACAATGACAAAAACAACAACAATCCACCTGAAGGGTAACATGAAAAACACTGAAATGATACTAGGCATTGGCTAGCCAATGCTGCTGGGAATGTAAAACAAAAAACCCTCAAATTCATTGCAGTTGAGTTGGAACTGACTTGTCACTGACACGCCATTTCCAAGGTTGTAGGAGACCATCCTTCTTCCCCCTGAGGAGATTCTGGTAAATTCAAGCTACCAGAGTTTGCAATACAGCTCCCTATGGACTGTGCCTCCCTGCTGGGAGGATAAATCATTAAAATCACTGTGGAATAATGCCTGGCAATATCTACTGGTATCTACCAAAGGAAATGTTTCCTATTATCCTGCAAATCATTCCCACCAGAAATGTGTTCAAGAAAACACATATGCTATAATGCTCACAAGTAGCACTATTTGTAATAGCCCCTAACTGGAAACCACCAATAGCTGTTGTTGAGCATGGCTGAGTCAGAACCAAGCCATAGCTGACCCTCTAAGTGGATTTTCAGAGGCAGTAAATCACACGGGAGGTGACTGCAGAGCAGCTGGTGGATTCAAATCGCCTGTCTTTGGGATTGCATGCAGCTTCTTACAGCTACACCATCAGAGCTGACACCAATAATGTTGTTGTAAAGTGCCGTCGAGTATGGATGAATGTCACTAGCATTAAGAAAAAAAATCCAGCTATAAGAAAGCATATAAATGGTATTGCAGATTGCATAGTAATCTTGAAATAAAAAAGTTTATATTTAAAAAAAAACAACAACAAAACAACAAACCAATAAGGCAATGACAAACTCAACTACTATGTAGATAAATGTTTGGAGAAAACAGAATTTTTCTAAGACAAAACATGTTTGTGTTTGTTGTTATATGTCGTCGAGTTGCCTGTGACTCATAGCGACCCTATGTACAACAGCCTTGGTCTATGCTGTGCCAATCTTATTGTCTCTGACACACCCACCTCCATGGCCCTAGTCACTTAAACAATCCATCTCATTGAAGGTCTTCCTCTCCTGCCTGTGCTGTCCCTCCTCCCTCCCAAGCATGATGTCTTACTCTAAGGACTAGTCCCTCCTTGCAACATGTCCAAAGTATGTCAGATGAAGCTTCAGAGTCTTTGCCCCCAAGAATAAGTATGCATGATTTTAAAAAAAAAGTAATCTTTAGTAGAGGAAGGGGAGTAATGATTGAAAGGAACTTATGTTGTACTGATGATGTTTTGTTTCTTGATCTGGATACTAGTTATGAGGGTGTGTACAATGTGTGAACATTCATCAATGTATGTACTTATATTTATGTACTGCAATGAAAAACAGCAATAAATGACAAAAAAGACAAATAAATTAAACAATATATTATTAAAACAAAACTACATGCATGACAAAGCTACTAAGCTTTGGAAAGAATTCATATTAAAAAAAGCGAGCATACAGGAAAATGGTCACAAAAGAAAACCATTAGTGAAGAAAAAAATGGCTACTAAAACATTTACATGTACAAGATGTAAAACAGAACAATGGATTACAATTACAATATTTTTCTATCACATTAGTCAAAATTAGAGGACTCCAAAAGGACTCTCTTGCTGACATTTTGCTGAAACTATCATTATATTTCTAACGGAGGGAGCGCTGGTGACCCAGTGGCAAAAAAAGCTGCACTGCAATCTCAAAGACACATGGTTTGAATCCACCAGCTACTCTGTGGGAGAAGGATAGGCAATCTCCTCCTGTGCAATTTACTGTCTCTGAAAAACCACTGGAAAGTCAGCTATGTATCGGTTCTGACTTGAGGGTATACAACAACAACAATGCAAATGTGATTCGGGATAAGCTTTTTGTTGAGTTTGGCAGCAACATAAGCCTAAAAAGAGCGGTTCATATCCTATGATGCACTGGCTCCCCTCATAGAAATTATTCTGAGAAAAATGTCAAGAGTTACATTTAAAGCTTAATTCAGTGTTGATTATGATTGTGAAAATCCTGAAACAATGTAATTATCCAATAATGAGCAAATTATGATACATACATAATGAAACACATTATAACAATAGGAAGTATACAATGGGAAAACATGATAAATAAAAGTGAAAACACAATATATAGAATTTATATAGTATATATTTCTGTGTTAAAAAAATACAAACTTAAACATCTGCATAGAAAAAAAATCTGTAAGAATACACACCATAAAGCTCATAGTAGCCACTGGTTGGAATCTTAAATCTTTGGCTTATTTTCTAAAAGAAAATATACTTTCAGAAAATAAATACTACTCGGAAATTTAAAAGATTTTTTAAAAAATTACTTTCACTTAGTTTCCCTTATTCTAGAAATGGAAACAACCTAGATTTCTGTGTCTCCTTCAACTCCCACATTCAATCTCTGTTAATTCCACTTAGCATTAGAAATGTCTGTCCAAATCAGCATTTCCTCTTTCATTTCCATAATTCACACCCATGTTTTTCCTAATGAGTTCAAGGGATCTAGTCTATTTCAGCAAAATGGCCACATCTCACCCTCATCAAACCACATACTATACCAATCCTCCACTCCCCAAAACCAAACCCCTCACCTTTCCGTCCACTCTGACTCACCCTGAACCACCCTGAACCTATGAAGACGGAATATTACTGCTCTACCGATTTTCCAAGGCTGTAAATCTTTATGGAAGCTGACTGCCACATTTTTCAACCCATGAGAGTCTGATGGGTTCAAACTGCTTACCTTCTGGTTAACAGCAAACGCGTAATCACTATGCCACCAGAAGTCTTACTCCTCACCCCAAAACACACCAGGGGCTTTCACATCTCTTAATCTTGGAACACTTGGTTGTTCTTAGTACACACTCTCTCCCTTTCGTCTTTCTAATCCGATACATAGTTCCAGATTCACTTCTGATAGCATTTACTGGGTGTAGCTTCTCAACACTCTGCAAGAAATAAGTATAGTTTCCAAACCAATCTTCCAACGATAGTCTGAAATCTCTTCACATTTATCACTCTGTATTTTAACGAAAACCTAACTTCTCCACTGCATGGCATGGGTGATTTTGTTTTCCATGTCGTGAAACCCTGTTGGATGAATGAACATAAAGGGCATGAATGCAAGGCGTATAGACAGAGGTCTGGGGTTGCTTCGTCAAGATGGCAGAAACGCCTTAAAAATACTACCTGCCACACAAAAGCATTCACTTTAAGAGACTCGAGTCAGAAGAACCGGCTACACCTAACTCGACAGTAAAGGACAAAAGACTTGAATCTAGACGCTGAGATGTCCCAGCACTAACCACTCACAACAGATCCCTGCACAAAGATTTCAAACCATGTTCGAACACTGGCACCTGCTGCCATCATTCGGCCGACCACGCCTCAGCCGTGAACAGTAACCCGAGGCACTTCTGGATCTGGCCCCAAAACACCAATGAAGGATGAGGAGAATAGTCCAGATGCACGATTCGGCCCCACCCTAGGCATATGAAGCCCCCCCCGGCAGCGCTTCCTTCCCAAGGAACGATGTAGGTGGAGGGCGCTGGCAACTCGGTCAGGGCTGGGGATCCTGGGAGCGCCCGAGGCACAGGCCGCTCGGTTCCAGGGCGCTGCAGGCTACACCTGTCAGCATGCACTTAACCTTAGGCCCAAACACCACCGGGGGTCCCGGGCAGAGGCCGGCGCGAGCGCGTCAGCCGCCCTCTTGTCCCTGGCTCGACTCCACCCCTTCCCTCCTCACTGCCTTCCCCTAGCCTTTCTCCTAAACAAAGGCAATGCACATCCACCGCCATTTCCCCTTACCTCAAAAACCACCTCTTCGTCAAAGTCCGGTGTCATCCTTCTCCGCCATGCCACCCGCCTCAGCACGATGGGAAATGAAGGCAGGAGACCTGACAGGACCGTCGCGTCGGCGGCTGTCTGTTCCGTGGGTCCTGAAAACTACAGTTCCCAGATGCCTTGCAGCGGCACGCCTCCTTTTCATAGGAGCAGAGGTTGAATGTGTGGGTGGGAGCGGAATGAAATATAAGCACTTTGATTGGAAGAAAATAGGGCGTCTGTGTGCTCTTTACCATTGCGACTAATAGGGGGCGCCTGGAACACTGATTTCCCCCCCCCCCCCCCCCCCGAGAGGGGCACGCGCGAGCAGAACCTCGGTGCGCGCCGCTGGTGCTCGTGCCCGCGTCTGGCCGTCCGCCCGGAGCTCCGCGGAGCGGCGCTCGTGCACGTCCGCCCGCCCGCCGCTGGCGGCTCGCGCCCAAGAGCGCTGCTGGGTCCCTGGAGCCCGCCGCTTCCTTTGTGCCGGGACTTGGGGTTGGAAAGCGAGCGCTGCGGAGGCTTTTCTCCTCTGCCCTATCACTGGGAACAATGAACTGAAAAGGAGAACATGGATTGAGGGGTTCCGAGCCGGGAAGTGAGCCTCTCGGGGGAATTATGACTTCTGCCGCCGGTAAGTGACGGCGCTCGCGCTGCCGTTGGAAAAAAGTTTGTAAGAAGTGTTGCGTGTCTTCAAGCTTTCGAGAAACTTTCTCCTCTGGGTGGGTGAATCGTGTGTCTGTACTGTACCTTTCCGGAGGACCTAAACGGATGGGGCGTGCTGCCGGATTTACTCGTCCCTTCCTGCCAGGAGAAGCTGCTTGGAAAGCCGAGTGGGTCCCCTGGGACCTCCCTTCACTGGGAGGCTTGTGTGGGGGGCGCTTTGCGCCAGGTGAAACGCGACGTGGAAAAGGCGTTTGTTGTTCTCTCCTCAAATGTGAACCTCTGTGCCTGTGCGTGTGAAAAGAACTTCGCTTTCCCATGTTAAGAATCAGTTATTCTAGGAAAGTGCTCTCAGTGTGTTCAACTCGGAGACTCTCTGGGAGTCTCTGTAAACCTCGGGTAGACGGAGAGCTCCTGTCCCTTCTTTCGATGAAGTGGTGTTTGGACATTTGTACTCTTGTTCTGTTGGTTTTACCAGCTACGTGAAAAAATGAGCAATAGAATTGCCGATATCAATTGTATACCAATTTCGTCCGCATTTCATACATTTCCACCTGGTTTGGGTAAACAAAGCACAATTTTCTGCCTGGCTCCTGCAGTCTTTTCCCCTTAGGCAAATGACAAAGCCTGTGTTTACCTTTGTGTGGATTTTGAGCAATTCTGGTCATTTGAAAGGAAGAATTTATTTTCTAAAATGATTTCCGAAGAGGTTTAAAGAACATAGGTTAATTTTAAAACCAGATCTTAATGAGTTAATCAGAGGTAATTTTTTACCTTATTTTTAAAACCATTTTTGTTACTTTTGAAAGAAATAAGCTTTCCTTAGTAATAGTTTAAAGCTACTTCTCAAAAGTTACTTCTAGAATCAGAACCTAAGTATCAGATTAAATTTTCTTTGCTTTTCCTGGCATTTGTTTAAAATTCCTGCAACTTGAAACTGTCAAACAGCACTCTAAATGCTCTGATTTGGATACTTTCTAAAACCTAAATGTATTTGAGTATTGCATTGCTAGGTGTAATCAGATTTCTATTAGCAAGGCATGAAGTTAGCCAATAGGCATAAGAAAGCGAAGAGTGAAGTGTTTCCGTAAAAGATGTTGATCTCGCTTTCTCAAAAAGTTGCAAATAGAGATACCATTTGACCCAGCAATTCCACTACTGGGCATATACCCTAAAGAGACCATAACTGGCACCCAAGTAGATATATGCATACCCATGTTTATTGCGGCTTTGTTTACAATAGCGAGGAGTTGGAAACAACCCAAATGCCCATCAACAAACGAATGGGTAGAGAAGCTGTGGTATATTCGCACAATGGAATATTATGCTGCATTGAAAAACAAGGAACTCATGCAATATTATTCAAAATGGGTGACCCTGGAGGACATTATGCTGAGTGAGCTATCTCAGTCAAAAAGGGACAAATGCTATATGGTGCCACTGTTGTAGAATGAGGCTGACATCGGAATGGGGGTAAGACTGAGCAAAACTGGATGAAATATGTTTACGGCATTGATGTCTTTGGGGGAGAGAATATTTTAATTTTTAGGGCATTATGTTTATCGTAAGAGTGGATTATATTTGGGGGTTGGAGGATGTGTGTGGGGGATTGTGTACCAATGAGGGAGTTTTTCTTTTGCGTTTGAAGGAGAGGAGCAAACGGGGTGGGGGGGGGCGAGGAGAGGGGTGCAACAATGAATGAATGGAATTCCAAAATCTCTGTAGGTGTTCATTGAAATGAAAAATAAAGAAATTTTTAAAAAAATGTTGATCTGTCCTTTTTTAAAAATTATTTTTTATGTTCCTAAATGAGATATCTATTACACACCTTTGAATTTACTTGGTAAACACTCATTTTCTTAACAAAGTAAGGCTTTCTACTGACTTTAGGGGAGTTATTTTCTCCCCAAATTTCTGTACCTTATTTTTAAGTTTTCTGAAGAAAACTGCTGAATAATCTTAAGTAATTTGTTTCTAGTAATTGGGAATTTTAAAAAAATCTACAACCAATGTTAGTTCTTCCATTCTCCATGTACAAAATGAATTGAAAATATTAATTCCTTCTCTGTATCAGGTTTCCTGTTCATTCTCAACAATTTATAATGAACATATTCAGAAGTACTTAATTTGACCCTTAAATTTGTAAACCTTATTTCTAGGGTCGAGTTTGCAAGTTTTAGGATTTTGTTATTTGAATTACTCTAGAACAATGCAAACTATTTTTATATTTTATCAACTTTAGAATTAAAGAACACCACAGACATTTTTGTGGTATTTAAAAGAGGGACACTTCCTGTGTTTAGCTGAGTTAGTTGGTTTTTAGCATGGCTCTCTTGGAAGCATTAACTGCTTTTTTTGCTCACCCATCTGTTGGGATTTACTAATGTTCTTTCTTGGTCTATATGGGGAACATGGAAGAGAACTGATGTTATCCAAGTTGTAAGTATCCCAAGGAACTTTGCTCTGTTCCTCGTCCCTCCACCTCCAACTCTTGCCCCATCTGTGACTCTTGGGTCTTAGTAGAGATACTAGAACTCTTCTAAGCAGTATGTGGAAATGGAGGGATATTGATAACTTTTATGTTTTATTTCTTTTTTCAGCATGTATGGGTCACTATCTTATTAATTTGGGGCTGATCCAGGAGGCTGGAAGGCATACAGGTGAGCAGTAGCCACCTGTGTGTAACAGATGACGATTATGTTTAGAATAGTAAAATGGTAATAGTGCTTCAGTTTCTTACCTTATTTTCCCCTGGAGCCAAACAGCTGTATAAATATAAGATTTGCTACTTTGCTTTAAGACTCTTTGGGTCTGACTGTTGATACAGTATTAAGATCCAGAGGGGCTGGATTCCTTTCCAAACATCATGCACTTATTTCAAGAGTTTAACATTTGAGCAGACCATAATATAATTTGCTTGTTATTTTTCGAGTTTTGTGTTTCTTTCAAAGTAAAAGGGGAACATAAGATTTCTGATATTGCAGGACTAGTGACTTAAGTTGAGCCCTTGTTCCCACTAAAAAATGAAGGGTTTAATCAATAATCCTATTGAAGTTGATTCCTGCTAACTTTTCATAATATTATTCTACATTAAAATGGGTATTGGTTTTTTTAAAAAAGAAATTTCCTGTTGCTGAGACATATTAAAGATTTGAGTATGTGGCAACTTCAACTATTTACAGGAATACAGCAGCTCCTGGAGCTTGCCTTCTAGTGGTAGAAACTCATGCTGAAGAAAAATGATGCTTCAGAGAGAGGACTGATTTCTTGCCTTCCATTGAAGAGGCCCAATTTACTTCCCAGCTAGGCACCTCATGTGTAACCGCCAATTATTGGAGGCTTTCTTGTTCCCCTAATACTTAACAGTTTCTAGAGGAGCTTCCAGGGTAAAGCAAATGAGGAAGCAACTTAAGGATTGCTAGGGTCCATTCCCCAAGTAATCATGGGGATGGCACAGAGCCAGGCAATATTTCATTCCATTGTGCCTGAGTCAGGAGCTGACACAAGACACCTAGCAACAAAGTAGCTAGAGGCTAGAGAATATAGACTAGATTCTTTTGAAAGAAGTTATCTCAAGAGTTACTTATAATCTGTGAATCATTTTGAATCATATGGGTTTGAGAGAGGATCTGACTCCTCCATTTACAAGTAGGGAAACTAAAGCTGTAATATTTGCTACAAAGACACAATTAGGTTAAATCCCCTGCCCCTCAGTTACTAGTTTTTTAAAAATAGTTTGTCTGGTAATGGTAAGCCCATGTTGTTTAATTCTGTAACCATTGAGGGCTTTAGGTATGTCATGCTGTGCTTTGTTTATTTGAAATTAATACCTGCATAACACTGATATGTGAGTGAACTGCTGACATACTGTTGAGAGAAAAGGGACTTGTGTATCTTGGATGTTACCTTACCTAGAAGACAATTGAAAGAAAAAGGTAAAATGAGGTTTAGAAAGTTAAAAAGTACATGTTTAACTAAGGATCAAATTGAATTAGGTAAACAGCCCTGAAGCTCTAACAAAACTGTCAGGTAATTCTCTGTCATGTCAGTTTTGACTCATAATGACCCTCCATTGGGTTTTTGAGGCTGTAAATCGTAACAGGAGGAGATGGATCTTCTTTTGCCCCACAGATTTATATAGTAAAAGATTACTCTGATTAGGTGGATTTATGTTGCTGGCTATTTCAATTCTTCCCAAACCCCCAAAAGAAAGATGTTGTGAGAGTGGTTATAGAAGTAAACTCAACATGACAATCAGTCATTTTTTATTATCTTTAGTATGCTGGGTGCAGGGATGGTTGGGAAGCAGCACAAGGCATTAATATTTCTCTCAAGATTTAACCTAGTAAATTAAGAGTTTAATTTGATAGACCTTTACTGACTTTTTTTTTTTAACTGATTTTCTACCTTTTCCCCCTACCTTAAAACAAACAAAATTTAAATAACATGCTATTGAATATACCATCTGAAACTGTATGGCTTTGGGACTCAATATAATTTTGAAAAAAACCCCTAGTAAATCCTGTGAAAACTAGAACCTGTATTAATGTGGAAATGTGTCAGTGAAGGAATGGCTTATGTATTTTCCACCAAAAGAAGCAATAGAAAAATGTTAAGACAGCATCCTATCTAAGATGGAAAAATTTAGGTAGCCTGGAAAAACAAAGCAGTCCTGTTAAGTTCAGCTCTCACAGGTTTTACTGAAGTTCATTCTCTTATTTCTGACAATTTTCTATCCAGAAATTGGGCACAAAGGTATCTTCTGTCATGTAACATGCACACTTAGTATTGGGGGTTCAGGAAATTCTTCCTTGTTTTTTAAAGGGAAGTAGATCACCCTCCTTTTTAAAAAATAAAACAAAACCCAGTTCCACATAGTATCTTCCAGAGTATTGTGACTCATTTCCTTTGTATAAAAAAAAAAAATCCCTTCAAATTAAATATCAGAATTTCTGTATATTCAAGTAATTAAACAATATTCAGCAATCTTTTGAAACAGATGTTGTTGTGCTGTGCCATCAAGTCACCTCCAGCTCAGCAACCTCATGTACAAAAGCTCTAAAGCCATCTCTGTCCTGAGCCAGCTCCATGCCCTAGTTACTGTATCAGTTCATCTCATCTAGGGTTTTCCTCTCCTGTGCTGTCCCTCAACCCTTTAGAGCTTTGGTCCCTCCTGGCCATGTGCCAAAAAAAATGTGAGATGGAGCTTCAAAATCCTAGCCTCCAAGAAGAAACTTGGTTTCACTCTCTCAAAGACAGACCTATTTGTTTTCTTGGTGATATCATGGCATGTTCAAGACTCTTCTCCAGCATCACAACTTGAAGACATCAATTCTTCTTCTGCCATCCTTAGTCATTATCCAGTACTCTGATGTATAATTGTGAAGACCATGGCCTGGATCAGGCACACCTTAGTCTCTAGACCTACAATATTGCTTCTCAGCGCTATAGAGAAGTCCCTGACCTCAGATTTACCTAATGCAAATCATCTTTTGATTTCCTGACTAATGGTGCCAAGAGTGTTAATTGTGGAGCCAACCAAGCTGTAATTGTTAACAACCTCAATCCATTGTGGTGCTGCCAATTGGCCTAGTGGTGAGAATTGTGAAACAGTTAGTTTTGAAAAGTATTTCTTTTTTTTCCTAGTAAATTGATATTTATTAAATCTAGGAGCTCTGGTGACTTAGTAGTAAAGATTTACGCTGCCAGTGCAAAAGTGTATGGTTCAAATACACCAGTTGCTCCATAGGAGAAAGATGATGGGTAGTCAGCTCCTGTGCAGTTAACTGCCTCTGAAAACCCACTGGAGGGTCAGCTATCAATGGATTCAAAATCAATGGCACACAACCACAACAGATCCTGTTGAAATAGCTAGTATAAATTGCTAGTTCATCTAGATGTTACAAAAGACAGACAAAAGTATAAAAGAAAATGTTGCTGAGGCCAGGTCTCTTTGGGAGGCAAGACACGATCTTAAGTGACAGTGTAGGTGGAAGAACCTTTTTATTGTCCCATTCTCCTGGGTTAAACTTTTGATAGGTTTCGGCAGATGTACCTTATGCACAGCCGCTGTTCATCTGTCAGTGGAGACTAGCACGTGGCTACGCTCCTGGACAGATCAGCAGAGCTTTCAGACTAAAATGAAGTACGAAGGAACATAGGGATCCCTAACCAGTCATGGGGATGGTACAGGACCTGGCAGGATTGTATTCCACTGTGTATGCATTGGCCACCACTGCACAGGGCTGCTATCAAGACCAAAATGGCTGTAGAGTAAAAAGGATCAGTTCCCCTGAAGAAGTAGCTCACGAGTCATAATCTCAGAATCTTACTGAGCAGGGGCCAGTTCTGTGCAAGTCCAGCATAATATACATAGGTGTTTATTAAATATATTGTTATGTACTGTCAGCTTTAGTTTGCTCAGATCCACAGTCAACACTTTTGGCACCAGCAGCCAGGAAATCAAAAAACGTATTGCGATGGGAAAGTCTGCTGTTAGGGACCTCTCTAAAGTACTCAAGAGCAACGGTGTCTCTCTGGAGACTAAGGTGCACCTGATACAGGCAATCACTTGTTATGCATCAGAGAGTTGGACAATGACTAGGGAAGATAGAAGGAGAATTGATGCCTTTGAGCTGTGGTACTGGAGAAGAGTATTGAATGTACCATGGACTGCCAAGAAAACAAACAGATATAACCTAGAGAGGGTTAAACCAGGCTGCTCCTTGGAGACAAGGATTCTGGGGCTTCGTCTGACATACTTTGGACATGTTGTAAGGAGAGTCAGGTCTTTAGAGAGGGATATCATTCTGGGTAGAGTAGAGGGACAGCGCAGGAGGGGAAGACCCTCTATGAGGTGGATTGATTCAGCGACTGGGGTAATTGGGATGGGTGTGTCAGGGGCAATGTGATTGGCACAGGATAGAGCAGGGTTTAGGGCTGTTGTACATAGAGTCGCTAGGAGTCACAAATGACTCGATGGCACATAACAACAACAACAACTGTCATCCAAGACGCTGGGCTGTACGAGGAGGAATGTGGCATCAGGATTGGTGGAAGAATCATCAACAACCTGCGTTAGGCAAATGAGATAACCCTGCTTGCTGAAACTGAGGACTTGAAGTGCTTGCTGTAGAAAGTTAAGGCCTGCCGTTTCCTATATGGACTGAAGCTCAACATCAAGAAAACAAAGATTCTCACCACTGGGCCAGTTGGCAGCATCATTACGGATGGTGAAGAGATTGAGATAATTAACAGTTTTAGTTTACTTGGCTCCACAGTCAACACTCTTGGTAACAGCAGCAGAAAGTAAAGAGACGAATTGCATTGGGAAAGTCAGCTGTGAGGGACCTCTCAGGAGTAGTGAAGAGCAACGATGTCAGGCTGGAGACTAGGGTGCGCCTGATCCAGGCTATAATCTTTGCAGTTACGTGCTATGCATCAGAGAGTTGGACAGTAATCCCTATCAATAGGGATGATAGAGAGTTGATGCCTTTGAGCTGTGGTGCTGGAGAAGAGTGTTGAATATACTATGGACTGCTAGGAGAACAAACAGGTTTGTCCCAGAGAGGGTGAAGCCAGAATGCTCCCTGGAGTCAGGGATCTTGAAGCTTCATCTGACATACTTTGGGCATGTTGCAAGGAGGGACTGGTCCTTGGAGAGGGACATCATGTTTGGCAGAGTGGAGGGGCAGTGAAGGAGAGAAGACTTTTGATGAGATGGATCAATTCTGTGACTGGAGTGGTGGGAATGAAATGGCTATGTTGGCACAGAATAGTATGGAGTTTAGAGTTCTTGTACATAGGGTCGCTATGAGTTGCAAGCGACTCGATGGCACAACAACAACAACAACAACTGTCAAGTTGGAACCAATCATAATTGACCCTCCAGTGGGTTTTCAGAGCCACTAAATCGCACAGGAGGAGATTGCCCATCTTCCTCTTGAAAAGTAACTGGTAGATTTGAACTGCCTGCCTTTGAGATGGCAGTGCAATGCCTTACCACTAAGCCACCAGGGTTCCTCCTTAAATATCATACTTTAGATATAATTTTGAGGAAGAATTGTTTGGTGCTCATCTTTTAGATAAATAAGGAGCTTTGAGGGCCTGGAGGTAAAGAGTTGTACTGCCAACGCAAAGGCAGGTGGCTTGCATTGCCAGCTGCTGCGAAGGAGACTCATGGGCGTCCTTTCTCCCATGCAGTTTATAGTCTCTGAAGAGGCGGCATGAGGGTTGGGGGCAGAGTGCGGGGAGAGGAGGTCAGGTAAGAGTTGGTTCCTACTTGACAACAATGAGTTTTTGTTTTGTATTTAAATAAATGAGAAAGGTGGTTAGTAATTAATAATACACAGCAGAATTATTAGTGGAATGTCCCAAATATGCAGACACTCAGGATGGATTCCCTGAGTTTCTGATGGCTTAGATTTAGGGTGGGATCTGGACTTGGACTTAATTAATAAAAGTGAACAGTGAGGAGGTGGGTACCAATTTTATAATAGACCTCAAATAAGGTAACAAAATTCCTTTTCCATCCTAAAGTTGATGAGGGAGTTCATTGGCTTAGTGATTAAGGAGATGCACTGGCAAGCAAAAGGCACAAAGTTTGAATCCACCAGCTACTCTTTCTCCAGGGGAGAAAGATGGACAGTCTTCTCACGTGTGATTAATTGCCTCTGAAAAACTGTTGAAGGGTCAGCTATGAGTCACAACATAACAACATCAAAGTGGGTAAGATTTCTGTTTTTCACTTTGAAGATTGTTATGGAAGTCTAATATTGAGGCAAACAGCTGACTGAAACAACTCGGTAGGATTGCACAGTGGTAGAAAAGGAAACAGTGATTAAACCACTAACCAAAGGTTGGACTCATCAGCAGTTACCAAAAAACATGACAGTTTGTTTTTGTAAAGATTTCAACCTTGTAAACTCACTGGGAAGTTTCTTTTCTGGCAGTAGGGCTGCTCTGAGTTGGAGTTGGTGGCGTTGGGTTAGGATGGGCTGTAGGGTCACTCAGAGTCATTGAGTCAGCAGTCTCTCATGGGATCCTGTGAACTACTGAAAGAACAAGCAGATGGGTCCCTTACTTTGAGCATGTTGCTGAAAGGGGAGTCTCCTTGGGGAAGGAAAGGTATAAGGTCAGTGAAAGAGGAAGACCTTTAATGAGATGGATTGACACAGTGACTGCAACAGTGGAACTCAAGTGGTCAGAGATGGGGAGGATGGTGCAGGATAGGACAGGGTTCAGATCTGTTGTTCATAGGGTTGCTATGAGTCATATGACTCAAGGGCATGTAACATTGATGTATATATTACTGTGGCCTAGTCCATTGGGAGTTGCACTTCTAGCCTAAAGGTGACATCCCTCTGATGGTTCAAATACACCAGTGGCACTGGGGTAGAAAGATGAACAGTCTCCTCCAGTGCCATTTACAGCCTCCACATTCCGGCAGAGGGTCAGCTATGAGTTGGTTCCAACTCAGTGGCAATGAGAAAGGTAGGAAACTTCTCTTATTAATATGAGAATCTTGATGTTGTATTTGCATTTAACTTAAGCAAATGAAACTCTCACCAATCAGTGACTATGCTGAAGTACTCCTTAATGATTTCATTTAGAGACAATGAAGATAAGGTTATTTGTTCCAATGTTGAAGGAAAACAGAACTGTATTGCACTTATTATAAAAACACACTATGCTAGACATGGAGAAATTGAAGAGCAAGAGTAATACTGACTGTAGATAATGTAGCATCATTTTACCTCTAGGGGCAATTTAGTTGGAGAACATATGGAGTTGGAGTGTTCCTTGGAGGTAAAGATGATAATGCTTCTTTTCACATACTTTGAGCACATTGCTGGGAGACACTATTTCTTGGGGAGGGATACCATGCTTGGGAAGGTGGAGGGACAGTCAAAGAGAAGATGACCCTCAACCAAATGGATTGACACAGTGACTAGAGCAATGGGCTCAAGTGCATTAAGAGATTGTGAGCTTGGCATAAGATGGGACAGGGTTCAGATCTGTTGTTCATCATGTCAGGGTCACTCACTTTGGTGGCACCTAACAACAACAACAGCAGCAGTAGTGATTCAGTAGCAGAATTATCTACTTCTTCTGAGAGATAAATGTTTGATACTTGACCGAGCCCAAATTCAGCCACCGCTTGTCTGTCATTGGAGGCTTATGTGTGATAAGGAATTGCACTGTCAACCCAAAGGCATGAGATTTGAATTCACCAACTGCTGCACAGGAGAAAGATGGGCAGTCTCCTCTCATACTGTTTGCTGCCTCTGAAAACCCCCTGGAGGGTCAACTGTGAGTTGGTTCTGATGTGATGCCAATGAACAGAACTTCAAGACTAAGACAAACTAGGAAAAAAGGCCTGGCAGTCTACTTCTGGATAATCAGCCAGTGAAAACCCTGTGGATTACAATAGTTCGATTAAAAACTGATTGTGAGGGTGGTATGAGACAGAGCAACATTTTGTTCCATTGTATATGGTGTCTCTATAAGTTGCACCTGACTCAGTGACAGTGAACATGATGTAACAATAAAAATTCTAATAGACATCAGACCAAGTTCAAGACATCAGGCCATCACTATCAAGGAAAAACACCTAGGAACCTGGAATTCCATCATACTTTTTTGTTATAGATTGATATATTCCTCCTGCCTGTCCCTAAATGTGCTTTGTAAATAGGTTTTTATTTGGTTTCAGCTTAGTTTTAGATGAATGGTTATCATTTCATTTGGGAATTTTGTGGTTGTTAAGAGGCTGCATTGGTTTAAAACACAGTGAGTATGTTTTAAGCTGTTCCTTGAATATTGAAAGAACAAGTTAGGACAGAGACGGGAAGAGGGATGGCAGAAGATGACTGCAGTGTGGCCACCTGAAGATCTTGGGCAGCCAAGGCTGCCTTGTGTAGTCAGCACAAAAGGAAAACCCCTGCCGAGAGCTAGCACCTGATTTTGGAATCTAGCTTCCTAAACTCTTGAGTTCTCATGGTCTAGTGGATATAGAGTTGTGTGACCATCCAAAGCGCAGTTCTTTTTATTAAAAATGCCGACACTATTTACTAGTTGTTGTTATAGGTGTCATCAAATTGAGGGTGACTCATAGCGACCCAAAGAAGGGTGGATCTGAATCCTGTCCTATCCTGTGCCATCCTTACAATCAAGCCCATTGCTGCATTCACTGTGACAGTCTACCTGATCGAGGCTCTTCCTCTCTTTCTCCATCATCCCTTTGCCTTTTCAAGCATGATATCCATCTCTAATGAAAAGCCTCTCCTAGCAACATTGCCTGAAGTATGTGAGGTGAAGTTCTATCATCTTTGCCTCCAAGGAGCACGCTGGCTGCCCTTTCTCCAAGATACATCTGTTCTTTTGGCAGTTCATGGATGTTCAGTAGTCTTCTGTAGCACCACAGTTCAAAGGCACCAATTCTTCTGTCATCCTTCTTCATTGTCCACCTCTCAGATGCTCAGCAAGTGATTGAAAAAGTCTGAGTTAGCCAGTATTTTCGATAACTAAAATACTACTAAAAGCAAAATGCTGTGAAACACAATCTTATATGCCCTCTTCTGGTCTGGTTATTTTGCCATCAGATGATTTATATTTGTATATACACACATATATTTTTTTTTCTCTTCTAGAGATTAAGAAGCCACCGGTGGCACCCAAGCCAAAGTTTGCAATGTCAAATAATAAGCCTGCTCCTCCACCTGTCGCTCCTAAGCCTGACGTTGTGATTTCTAGTTCCGCACGGTCAACAAAGAAGCCCAAGCCAGCCATAGCCCCCAAACCCAAAGTTCTAAAGGACTCACCTGCTCAAGACCTTAGACCATCACCATCAAGGAAAAATGCTGTGAACCAGGAAGAACACAAACAGAAAGGACCCGCAAACCCTGATGACTGTAATGGTAAAACTGTAGGGGGCCAGAGCAGCAGTGCTCTTTTACCTCCCTGCACCTGCGGCTCTGAGTGTCTCCACAAGCTTGGGAATAGAGGGCATTTATGTGGAAAGCAGCTTATTATAGAGCCCCTGGAAATGTACAAAACCGTTGAAAATAGTAATATTGACGAGTTCTCTCTCAGTGTCAATACAAGGAATAAATGCGAGTCTCCTGGTGAAAAGGTAGAAAATGAGGGTGAAGTTGTTTTAAAGGCAGGCCTCCTAGAAGAGACCCCGAAAGATGTCTTATCACAAGGAATGTCACCTTTCCATTTAACACACAAGCACAGCACCACAGACACCCCAGAACTGAATGGTGGCTGCAGTTCAAACAAGCAGTTCACAGATGGATTAACTGACTCATTACAATCCTCGTCTAGCATTGAGAGAGCTCCTGAAAATCACCACCTATCACAACCTCCAAATGATGAATTTCAAAAAGTTGAAATGTGTCAGGACGGTGATGGAAAAAGCAGTAATTGCTGCCACCCATCTGAACAAGAAAATCTAGAAAATAGTAATGGCAACAATATTACCTGTTCAGGTGGAGTTAATAAGGAATCGGAAGTCAGTGACTTTGGCCCCTTGGAGATCCACTTAGTAACATATCACAAAAAATTCCCAACTCCCAAGCCCAGAAAGACACGCATTGCTCGTCTGATACGCCAAAGGTATATCGATGCCCCTAGTGCAAGTACTGAGGAGCCTCCTCATTCAGACACTAACCCTCCTTGCCTTACTGAAGACAGTTTTAAGAACAGCACAAGCAGTATTCTTCCTCAGAGCGCTTCATGTGACGAAGAGCAAGTGAATAAGGTGGAGCAAGGAAGTGAAAGTGAATTGAACCCGCATCCCGGCAGTGACAGAAAACATCTAGCTGGTTCCCAGAAAGCCGTGTGTTTTAAAACTTCTATTGAAAATGTGGCACCTTCGTTAGATACAGCCTCCAGTTTGAGTACTGACCTTAAGATAGTCGATGACTGTAGTTTGTCTCTTGATAGAGAACGTGAAACCAGTTTTTTAAGATGCAACACTCTGTCTATGAGCCTGCCGAACCACATCAAGTTAACATACAAAGAACATTTGCCCAGTGCATGTAACCTGGGACTGCCTACCCCTCAGCTGCAAAAGGAACCTCCAGTAAAGAATGAAAATTCTTTGAGAATCATCCCCAAAAAGCCTCAGAGGCACAGCTTGCCAGCTGCAGGGGTGCTTAAAAAGGCTGCATCTGAGGAGCTTGTAGAGAAAAGTTCTTATCCCTTAAATGAAGGGGAAAAGGCAGAGGAAAGTCTAGAAAGAATTCACCTTAAGCATGACTGTACCCCAAACCCTGGTATGTCTTCCTCCTTTGATGTACCCAAACAGACTTCAGAAAAGCCAGTGTGGAAATTACCTCATCCTATTTTACCCTTTTCAGGGAATCCGGAATCCTTAAAGTCTGTGAGGACGTCTTTGAGTGCTAGTCAGCCTGCACCTGCACTCACCAAGCCCAGAGCGAAGTCGCTCTCCGCAGTGGATGTGGAAAGGAGTACGAAGTCTTGCAAAGAACCTCCAAAGAAAAACTCTTTTAAGAAGTTGCTCAACCTGAAGTTGTCCGTCTGTTTCATGAAAAGTGACTTTCAGAAGTTTTGGTCCAAGAGCAGCCAACTTAGAGACACGACCACTGGCAAAAAGACTGAAAATGATTGGCATGGCTTATTGGTAGGAGAAGAAAAGAGGGGCAAACCTGTTAAAGCACATTCTGCTGATAACTACAGCCTGGAATCCCAAAAGAAGAAGAAGTCTCGGGGCCAGAGCAGCATTGCCAATGGTCCCAGAGCTGAGTCTTTGGATGACCAAATGCTCTCCAGGGAGACATCATCGCAGGACCCTTGCAAATCTGTGACGAGTATCAGTGCACCCGAGTATGAAAACATAAACTGTTATGCGAAGATACCGGAGTATGAGAACTTGCCATTTGTTATGGTTGTAGGGAAAACTCCAGAGTTTGAATCACGTAATTCCAGCAGTACGGAAGACACTTATGAAAATGTGTACGAGATACAAGACCCTTATGAAGCTTCTGCTCCTCAGCTGCAACTTGGGCCAACACTTCAGCATTGCAGGTAATATTTTACAGGTCAGACAAAGTACAATTTTTGTTGCAGTTAACTTTAAGCAACCCCCTGAGATAGGTACACCGAGGGAGAAATCACCTGCTAACAGTCTGGCTCTGTTAAATGCATATAAACAAGAAGAATCTATGTTCTTAGTTTCTAGATTAAGGCTTGCATTGACTATGATAAAGGATCTTTAGATTCATTTTAACTACTGTTGTTTTACAGATACCATAGACAGTATAGTTTTTAATTTGTTTGTGAGGGAGCAACCCTTTCTGAATTAGCTTCAACTACACATTAGATGCATGTGTAATTTACATATATGTGGGAAAAATATGTGTATTTGTGGTTATTTGTCTTACCTTAAAATTAGGTGGTAAAATGAACTCTTAGGCACTCTATTTTGAAAGAAATACTGGATATGGAATTTTTAACTGCAAAGTTCAACTTTCTTGTATCACGCAAATGGAAAGAGCATTTGCAGTGTAAACTTGGAGCAGGTAACTGATGTAATAGCTGATGGAGAGAATTTGAACTAGAAGTCATGTAGGTGCTGTGAGGAAGGTTAGGAATAGAGACGTATCAGACCCTCTGAAGCTCCAACTCAGGACTTACTGCAAGAAACCTGGGCCAGGAAATGGACCAATTCAATGATGTTTTATGGTTATTTTGGGGGTTTTGTTTTTGTTTGGCTTTTTTGTTTTTAAGTGTAAGAAATCTGTACAGTTATTGAAGTCCCTGCATTGTCTTTGTCAGGCAAAAACCTTTGAATTGACAGAAGTTAACGGTTCTTTGAGGATTAGTTAATCTATGTTTTGAAGCTAATTGCTAACATCTGGTGAATATAGGGGAAAATGCAGGAAACATAAAACCCGTTCTTTCTTTTTTAATTTTATATATCATTTTGTGTGCCTGCAACACATACCCCATCTCTCCATTGAAATTGTGCCCACTTTGACGGATAGATTAGCAACCTTTAGCTTCCTGAACCTTTCCAAATTACATAGTAGGAAGTGTTCATGTCTCTTCTGCCCTCCCAAAGCACTCTGATGTTCTTATAATCTCTGTCTCATTCTTTCACATGATGTGAGTATTTATTGGCAGGTTTGGTGTTGGTTTTGGTCTTCTGTCTTTATATCGTGCATGAGAATAAGCAAGGAGCTTGGTAGGCAATCAGTAAATGTTGATTTGGTGTATGAGCAAATGAATGAAAAAGAAGGAAAGCCACCCTCCAGCTGCTTCTTCCTTCATAGCCTCACACAGCCTTTAAATCATGTTTTAAGTGTTTTGACATCATCTGTAGGGAACTGTACTGCTAACTCGAAGACAGTGCTTCTCTGGCGGTTCAACATCACCAGTGCTCCAAAGCATAAAGATGGACCATCTCCTCCTTGGGTTTCTGAGGAATATCAATATTTATCAGAGACTCTCCATCTTTCTCCATGGTATGACTCTGTGGTATAGCTGGTAGAGTTAAGCAATCCAGCCTTTGTAATGGTTGCTATTGTTTTGTGCTGTAGAGTCGGAACCAGTTGATGGCTGACCCTCAAGCAGGTTTTCAGGGGCAGTAAATTGCACAGTTCTTCCCTATTTTTCTTCGATATAGCACCTGGTGGATTTCAACCATCTGCCTTTAGGTTTGCAGTGTAGCTCCTTACCACTAGGTCACCAGGATTCCCTAGGGCTGTGTTTCTAGTAGCAGCCCAGTTGTGCTCCCAACATTCCTTAACAGACTAATTGTTGTTGTTGTTGTTGATTTGGAACCAACTCATAGCTGACCCTCCAGCAGAGGTAGTAAATCATATGAGAGGAGATTTCCAATCCTTTTCCTGTAGAACAGTTGGTAGATTTGAACAGCCTGCCTTTGAGATTGCAGTGTAGCTTCTTAACCATTATGTCACTGGACTCATAGTTACTATTAAAATACTAAAGAAAATATTTTGAGGAAAATTGAATATGTAATATTGCCAAGCAAAATTTCAGTCAGTTCATCCAGCAAAATGAATTAGTTTAAGTTCCTTTTGCTTTCAGATATTCTCCTTGCATTTTTCTTTACCCACAGTTTCTCTTTCTTTCATGTACCTATAAAATGGTGCTTAATTGCATTACCTAATTTTCACATAGCTGATTTTTGTTTACATCCTCCTATTCTCTAAAAGTAACTAGACAAAAATCTCTTCCTGTGCATAGATATTCCAGTAGAGAATTAATGCTAAGATGTCTGTGTGTGTCTGTGTGTGTGTGTGTGTGTGTGTGTGTGTGTGTGTGTGTGTTGGGGAGTTTCTATATTTATGCTTGCTCTGCGATTTGTGGAGCAGTTTGGTGGTACTGTTCCTCCTGTAACAGTTTGGCACTATGCTGTGAAATACAAAATGACAGGTCAAAGCCATCCAGTGGTTCTGTGAAGGAAAGACATGCTTCCAGAAAGATTTCAGTCTGGAAAACCTTGTGGAACAGTTCTCCTTTGTCACATGGGGTCACTATAAGTTTAAACCAGTTTTACCTGACTGGTTTAACTAGCTTCAAACAACAAAAGCAGCCTCCTCCTTTCGGAATCCCCGGATGGTTAATATGCTCAGCTCCTAATTGAAAGTTTGGAGATTCAGGATTTCCCAGAGGTACCTTGGAAAGGTACCCATGGTGGACAGTGTTGGCTGGAGCTTCCCGGCTAAAATAAGCCTGGAAGCAGGAGCCGCATCCACTTCTGAAATGGCTTGCCTCTGGAAACTCTATGTATGAACAGTGCTCAGGCTGTTCGTTCATAGGGTCGCTATGAGTCGTCTACGACTTGACGGCATCTAACAACAACCACAACCTTGGAAGGAATGTCTGGCAGTCCACTTCTAGAAAATCAGGGATTGGAAACTTTAAAAAGAGTAAGGGAAGCATGAGTTGTACTGGGTCTAAAATCTGTTGCAATAGCTACACAGATCTCACAAAATCGTACTCAAAATTATGTGGTTTATTAGGAAAATTAATAGATTATAATTCAGATTGGCAACAAGATACAATTTCTCAGTCAGGACATCTTCTGAAGTGTGAACTCTGGCCCTTCAGCCTTCAGCTTTGTGTCTTCAGGCTGGTGTTACGAAATTCTCTTAGTACTGCCAATTTTGACATCCCTCCCTTCAACCTCTCCATTCCTCCAGCACGCCTGAGTGAATGAATGCCCCTGACTCTGACTCCATGGGCCAGCAGGCTCAGGTCAGCTCTGTCTCATGTTGGGTCACTAGTTCCTCACTGTGGCATCTGGTGTTCCTCTGCTGGTCTTGGTCTGAATAGCAAGGAAGTCTCTGGCCCCAAAGGACGAGCACCATATTCTCTACTTCTTTCTAGTAGTGAGATTTCCGGATTTCTACCACTGAATCTGCTCCATTTAAACTTGGTGGAATGGTAAAACTGGCCAGTCCTCTTGTGGAGAGATCCACAACAATTTTTTAAATACAATTTTATTTCATTGTGAGTTTAACAAACATTTAGAGAGAAGTTAGATTTTCATTCATTAATTGTTGCACATTTCACCCCCTTGCCCTCCCTTCTCCCTTCCCCAGTTCACTTTTTTAAAGAATATTCATTCATTGTTGCACAGTTACCTTCCTTCTTCCTCCTGCTCTCCGCCCCCCAACATCTTACTTACGTATTCCCACCCCACCTTGTGGCTAGGCAATGGCCTAGGAAAGCCAATTTGAACAGTAGGCCCAATGCACTGCCAAAACCCTTTGGAGAGCAGTTCTGTTCTAACAGACCTTAGGATCATCATGAGTAAGAGTCTATCTGGGGGCAGTGAGTTTTATAAATAGAAGATGTGTGGCAACTCTGCATAAAAAAATTTAACAATGTCATTTTTTTCCCTCCTAATAGTTCTATGTTCATTGTGTGTCTCTGTTACATTTTATTGATTCTCACTATATTTCAAATTTGTGTGTAATGCTTTTGTGAAGTTAATACTCTATAGTATAGTGTAAATATACATTTCATATGCATTGCTACAGTGTAAACATAATTTTTATATGCATTGAGAAACCAAAAATTCTTTATTGCAATATTATTTTTATTGTGGTGTAGAATGGAAGTCACAATATCTCCAGAATATTCTTATCATTCTTTTAGGGGTGTGTGTACGTGTCTTAAATAGGAATGAATTAATTTTACTTCTTTGTGAGTTGAGCAGGAACTGACCTCTAGCTGACACTCCAGTGAGTTTTTAGAGTCAGTAAGACTTAAGGGAGGAGATTGCCCATCTATCTGCAGAGCATTTGGTATATTTGAACTGCATGCTTTTGAGTTGGCAGCCCAACTACTTATCACTAAGTCATCAGAGCTCTCTCAGGCTTAAATAGTCAGAGTTTAATCTCTGACACAAGTTCTTCATGTCTGGGACTTTTATCTGGTATGCTTCTTACCGAATTAGGGGACTGCTGCAATCAGGGAGGTCATGCTGTCCTCAGGGGTGAACTGCACAGCCAGCCAGTGCAGCTGGATGACATTCAGAAGGAAGGTCCACTGGAGGCCACAGGAAAGCAAGGGCTGCTTTGGATAGGTTGCAGGCTGTCATGTAGGGAAGTTCTGCTTTGAAATTTAACTTTCTACAAAGATTTTTGTTAAGGTCTGGGGTAGGGAGTCCAGCACAAGCTTGAGATTCCTAAAATGTGCCAACTGAATCAAAAGCCTTCAGTTATAGGGTCAGACCAGTAGGATTGCCTGGTAGGTTTTTCCTGATATAAACAATATTGAATAGATGCTTTCCTGAGAAAGACATCTCAATACTCAAAAGCAGGACAAATGAGAAATTGCACATTTCAGGTGAACTAAGAGAGTAAGAGAAGACTTGAAAGCAGTTAATGATGAAGATCAAAGACAGTAGTATTGAATACAAATTACATCTCTACATCAAGAAAATAAAAATCCTCACCACTGGAGGACCAGAAGGCAGCATCATGAGATATGGACAAAAGATTGAAATTGCTAGTGATTTCATTTTACTTGGATCCACAGTCAGCACCTGT